GCGAGAGATGGGATTTTCTTAGATCCAGGCAAATTCTCCCCTAACCCCCCGTTGCTACAAATGTTGACACTGCCAGCGCTTTCATCTCCCAGATCCCGGATGACCGCAGCGCCGCCTTGCGGAACGCGCACGCGCTAATCATATCTTGTGATGATAATTAGTACACAGCAGGGATGAAGCGGGTTATTGCTGGCTAATGCTTTATCTCGTGAAATCAGACCTTTTTCACAAGCACAGAGGCGGAATTCCTTGAAACAAATTGAAAGTTAATTCTTTTTCTAAATAGCGAGGGAGTCACGTCGTTATGGCTGACCTTCTCATAACACAGCCCGGGTTATGCTTCATTTAAAAGCTGTCGGCCAGTGTCTCTTCACGAGTATGCAAGAGGGAAACTGTTTGGATACAACTTGTAGAGAAATCTACACGGCTAGAGGGTCTTATGGTAAAATGGCATGATGAAGATAACTAGATTTCATAAATAATTCCTCGTTGGGATTCCGGGTCTTGTTCCAAAGAGCAATCTTAGCGCTACGATTGTCGTAAGTCAATTATAAATAGCTATGATTGCCTTAGCGCTAAGGTGATTTTATGAAGAGGATCACCTTGGACCCACTGGCGATCTTAGCTAGTCTGTCATACAGTCCCTGAATCAAATATATCCAATACAGCCCATGCAAGTCTATAATGTTTGGCAAGTCTAGATTACCGCAGTATCTGTAAATGAAGAAAGTCTCCGGGCTCCTTTTTATTATATTTTATAACTATAATTTAACAACTTTTTTTCTGTAAAATATGTTCATTTTCAGAGAAAAGATGTTAGTCTAGACCTTAGCCTACGTTTGTCGTAATCCTGTCTTGATGTAGGGGGAGTTACGATCGCCTTAGCGGTAAGAAAATTGTGTGTAGCGAAGTTCACTGGCGATCTTAACCTGCGATAGTCGAACGCGCGAAGTAGGGGAGTTACGATTGTCTTAGCACTGAGATCGCTTTGTGGAACGGGACCTTGGGATGCGAATTCAGCCTAAATAACAAAACCAACAATTGTGAAAGTGTTTTTAATTTTATTTTTCAACATGATCTCCCTTCTTTTCTATACATATCTCATATCCATAGTGAAGCATTTCAATTCCAGTCAGGAAGAAGATTTCAGCCGACCTGAAAAACACATCCACGGCAGCTTTGAGGTCATAGCGCTTTCCACGAAGGTGTTCTTTCAGTTTAGGAAACAAGGTGGAAATCACTTGGTGCCAGGTCTGGCAAGGTGGGTGAGGAAGAACTTAGAACCTACCTTGTCGCACAGCAGACTTTGCAAGTCGAGAGTTGTGAGAAGAGGCATTGTCATGAAGTAGTAGAACTCCAGCAGTCAGCATTCCTCGCCGCCTTTCTTTGATAAAATCTCTCAGGCGATTACGCAGCATAGTAGGCACTGGTAATCGTCTTTTGACTTTCTAAGTAATCAACATAGAATCACACACGTTGCATCCCAGAATACAGTGGCCATAACCTTCTTCACTGATCTTGAAGACTTGAATTTCTTTGGTGCCGGAGAAGTGGAATAATACCACCCCAGTGGTAATTATTATCAATACTGCTTCCATGGTAATCGTTGACATTGCAGTGGGCCGCCAGTAAACCAACATGGTCAGAACTATGTGTTCATGAACACTGCAACTGTGTGATCAAGACAGAGTCATTGAAATGCCCGAATCAATATTGTGATGCCTTAATCAAAACATAATAATACAGTCTGGCTCTTATATTACTATTCATGAATGTATGCTAGTTGGTTAGTTGCTTTGTTGTTTTACGCCGCACTCAGCAATATTCCACCTATATGACGGCGGTCTGTAGATAATACAGTATGACTCCAATATTACTATTCATGAATGTATGCAAGTAATACAGTCTGACTCTAATATTACTATTCATGAATATATACTAGTAATACAGTCTGACTCTAATATTACTATTCATGAATATATACTAGTAATACATTCTAACTCTAATATTACTATTCATGAATATATACTAGTAATACAGTCTGACTCTAATATTACTATTCATAAATATATACTAGTAATACAGTCTGACTCTAATATTACTATTCATGAATATATATACTAGTAATACAGTCTCACTTTAATATTACTATTCATGAATGTATACTAGTAATACAGTCTGACTCAAATGTTACTATTCATGAATGTATGCTAGTAATACAGTCTGACTCTAATATTACTATTCATGAATGTATGCTAGTAATACAGTCTGACTCAAATATTACTATTCATGAATATATGCTAGTAATACCGTCTGACTCAAATATTACTATTCATGCATGCTAGTAATACACTCTGACTCTAATATTACTATTCATGAATATATACTAGTAATACAGTCTGACTCTAATATTACTATTCATGAATATATACTAGTAATACAGTCTGACTCCAATATTACTATTCATGAATATATACTAGTAAAACAGTCTGACTCTAATATTACTACTCATGAATATATACTAGTAATACAGTCTGACTCGATTATTACTATTCATGAATGTATGCTAGTAATACCGTCTGACTCCAATATTACTATTCATGAATGTATGCTAGTAATACAGTCTGACTCTAATATTACTATTCATGAATATATACTAGTAATACAGTCGGACTCCAATATTACTATTCATGAATGTATGCTAGTAATACCGTCTGACTCCAATATTACTATTCATGAATATATACTAGTAATACCCTCTGACTCCAATATTACTATTCATGAATATATACTAGTAATACAGTCTGACTCCAATATTACTATTCATGACAATATAGTGATACAGGATCCATGCTAGATATTCATGACAATATAGTGATACAGGATCCATGCTAGACATTCAAGAAGTGACTTAATGACAAACATGCATGGGGTAATATAGTACTACAATCTGACGTCACATTTTACTGTTAATGATTCAGTAGTAATACAGGAACCATGCTATATATTGGGGATACCAAATCAACTTCAATGATGACTCTCTATTTGCATACTAATACAGTATCCGAAGGTTTGTATTCATGAACGCATGTTATTTCCATGGTGACGCTTCTTGAATGCAGCAACACGTCTTCAATGGCTTCTATTTATAATCACATACCTGGATCGTGATGAATGTAGTGGCTGCAGGTATATATGCTCTTATGTGCACTTTGGATTAAGAACAATATAGTATTTATTAAAACTATATTCCAGGAGAAGGGTGGTGGCGATACAGACAAATGATAAAATCGATCCCTTGACGGCCCCCAAGAAATTGTTTGGATCCACCTTTCGGAGATAAAATTGTGTGTCTTCAAGCAGTAAGAGTCTCTTAATAAAATATTAATATAAGCAAATACTAAATTGTTGGAACGTTAGTTACTTACTGTCTTTGATCATGTCTGGTGTTGATTTCACCACACGTGTTCTATACCGCGTGTGAGATGGGTTTCATTTGAGGGATTTTATTATTTTTTTAATGGGTGGGGAAGGGGGGAGGTGCACATAGCTTTTCTTACGCCGCATTCACGCCGCAACGATCGACGCCGTTCGGGTACGTTGATATAGTCATCCCCGTCAATCCATTAAGTTGCCTCTTACGACCCCCACACGTTGCAAATTCTGGGGTTCTATTCTGATCCGGAGTCCCCACGGGGGTTACCAACATATTTAACGGTCCAGTCAGAATATATTGCAGAACAGAAAAATACATTGTTTTTTTATGCTGCAAGAATAACTTTAATACATCACTATTTAAATATTCAATGAATAAATGCGTTATTATATTAAGTAACATATGCTTCTGCCATTAAAGCCTGTCTACGGACACGTCAGCTTTCGCGGATATAAATGTAATATACATACATGTAGTTTCTTTGGCTGTTGTATAACGCCGCACTAGGCAATATTCCAGTGATAAAAGCGGCTAATGTAGTGACTACAGTCCTTTGAAAGCAGAAGCAAATTTAAGGTCAAAACGTCTTTTTTACCCCGACATAAATTTACAACGGTACTTAGCTACCCTCGTGTGTTGTGTACACGGAAAGACAAATAACCAGTCTGTAAAACTATATGGACAATATCATCGTAGATATTTTTTACAATTACAATTGTTTTATGCGAACACACTAACCTAGAGAAGACTGACATATAGTCACTGCAATCATCTCTCCTATAATATTGTTCTTACGCCGATCACATGTAAATACACCTGTATGTAAAATAAAACTACAGACACTTTCATCATACTTATTGAGTAGACTAACTTATAATTTATGAAATCTTTTATTTCACAGAATTTCTTATCTTATCTTATTCTAATGCTAATATCATATAGCCAGATGGAATTGCATCTGTTTATAATTTAGACTGGTTTTAATTTAATTAAATTCAGCAGGCATGAGTATTTTGTCTATGAGTATCGATACAGCATCAATAATGAGCACTCCTGTTGCTTGGCATTGGTGATGTATTTGAGCATATCTCAATCTTATGTTTAGTGTAGCACATAATTCATGTTTGTTTTTAGATGAGAAGTATATAGTAAGTGTATCTATCCGGCGAACACTGAAGACACATCTGACTTTCATTTTCCAATTGGGCAGAAATCCGGGGATCAGAAAGGCAAAACAACGTCAGTTAAATCTAAAGGAAAGATATCGTCTGAAATTTCACTTTCCTTTAAGTCTGTTGTAAGTTTACAGAAAGGCTGGCGTCTCTCCCCCCACCACTTCCCCCTTCGCCGTTCACCCACAACGCTAGGGGCACGTCGTAGATTAAATAGGAATCTGCAAATCCCGCATGTCAAAATATGTAAAGCTCATATCAAACTTTTCTTTGGACGAGGCTCATTAGACAGCTAGTGAGCAAAACAACTCTGACGTCACGGATGTTTTGTGGATCCGCACCAGTCCAGTTGACACCCCCCGATCAATTAGAACACTATCTGACGAATCCGTGGCTCCCAAATCTGCTCAAATCATTGTCACAAGCCAGTTAGAAGATTACAAGCAGCAGCAATGGAATAGATGGTGAGGAAACCTCTCTCCCGCGTCTAGACCAGAAACACGATAGGCCCGCTAAGTCGCGCCTATAAAGCAGCCCTCTCCCGTCCGTCGGCAGTCCCATGCTTGCTATTTGAGGGAGGAGATCGCAGGTGCTTGATTATGATAATTCAAGGACAAGAGGGAGGTAGTATGGAATGTCACGGGGGTAGTAGTGTCACCCCCGGGAACACCTTCCATCACCATGACCAGGTGACGTATCATAATTATACAGACAATCCATATTCGTATTCCTTTCCTGGAGGTTCTAGTGGAGAATTTGGCGAATGTTGGAACCAGTTTTATAACGCCGCGACATCGTTCTCCCCCACCCCCAACTACGAGCCGTACCCCCAGCCCCAGGGGCATGTGTGCAGTGGACAGTTCCATGGAGACATCCATATGGGAGAGTATGCAGCGCAACTGGCCTTTCAGTCTTTACCCAACAAAATGTACCCGTCAATTCCCGTGCCAAAGATGCCAGACATTCAGAGAGAAGGTGCAACCGAGCGGGAAAGGACACGGATGCATATGCTCAATGACGCGTTTGACAGTTTGAGGAAAGTGGTGCCAAAGTCCAACTTAAGCGAGCATCAAAAACTTTCAAAGATCGCCACACTTCGACTGGCGATTCATTATATATCAGCTCTGGCGAGCATTCTGAAGAGCACAGGTGCTGAGATAAAAATGATCAAGGACATGACGACGGGGGGAGACAGGAGGGGGAGACGGAGGGGCGGGAGGAAGAGGAAACTGGTGGACAGGCCCGGGGGACAAGTTAGACCCACCCCTGAGATGAACGACAACACATTGCCCGTGTCTACCATCATGACAGGTGCTTGTTTGTGATGTTTCTTTGTCGCAGACATGATGTCGACTGATAACACCGAAGACGTCGTTCAAGACGTCGTTGACAGATATGGACGTGCCGAAGAATTCCTGAAACTGAGTCTGGAGCGGAATATTGACTTGACACTGAGTTTAGAAATGTCAACTTTTCTTGAAAGTCGTTCCGTGGCATACCAGACACGTAACTAAGGGTGAAATCAAGGACTCGTCCCCATCAACATACCGCCACTGTAGCACGATGGGTCATCGTCGACGTTGATGTCACGGACGTTTTAGCGAAGGACACAGTTACATTTTCATGGAAATTGTGTCATGTGACGCAATGTGATTGTGTTGTCACGGTAAATGTAGGAATGACCTTATTTGTGCATGTTTCAATTTTGAGAAATATTGACTCCCACCATCTCAAACTGTCCAAAACCATAGTTTTGATATTTAAATTAATTTTATGTAAATAAATATTTTGAGATATCGATTATTATGTTGTATTATGCATGACAATAACATACAAGGAAGTTCAATGTATTTTATTACAATGTCCTTATTTCGAACTACGTAAACTGTACAAGGTACAAGTTTATCTACTTTCAAGATAGTGATCGTCTGTAGGAAACCCTGGTAAGCCTTTCTGTGTAGTTCGTGTTTGAAGAGGGTTTTTGTTGAATGCATTCGTCGTGGTCGTTGTGTATCCTTTCAGATGTTTTTAAAAAAAATATCCCCCTTGGGTTTTTAAATAATGTGATGCCTTTCACAGACCAAACAACTTATAGAAACAGGAATAAGTATGTGAACAAGACTATTACAATTGCTATATAAATCTTTCCACGTATCTATATAAATGGATATGATATGTCCATGTTACATTAATTTTCACAAGTGTCTTTTCACTATCAGGTAAATAGTGAAATATAAAAAAGCATGACCCCCCAAATATAACACTCTACTTTTTAAACTGACACAGCTAATGGATAGATTATGATACGAGTTTTTAATCCAATGACGTTTAAAAAAATGTTATTACTTTTCAAAAGAGTTCAAATATCTTAGAGAAAAAGCAACAATTTCAAACTTTTAACAGCTTAGAAATATTCATCTCGTCGTGGAATTATTAACACGTTAAGTACTGGCTATTAGTTTTCAGCGTCAAGCGGGAATATGAGGAGGTGTTAACAGTCCGTTGCACGAGCTGCACGGGCAGATCGTGCATTCTTGCGACACTCGGGCCACGTGTGTTTTAACGACGGGAAAGAACAAGTGTGGCATTTGTATGTTTTCATTGCTAGCGTCTGTGACAAAATGTCGCATAAAGCGAATTCTTGCCCACTAAACAAGTGTAGAGGAAATGCAATGTTGGGCCGTTTAAAGTTTCTTTTCAAATTATAAAATTTCAAAACAAGCGTTTAAAAGTTTTTGGTAGTAATTTACGAGGCACTTCGTGATGTTTATCAAGGAATTATCGTTATTTCTAAGAATAGCTCTCATTCTGTGAATTTGTCAGATTTGACTGCTTGTATGTCCCAAGGTCATGTTTTTATTTTAGAAAGTTGTTTTTGTAATTATAAACAGATAAATAACGAGTTTAAAATAATGATGTAAAAGAAAGCATATGTGTACTCGTTTAATAATTCCGTTGAAATGTCATCTCAAGGTAATTAGTATTGCTGTCATAAATAAGTGATAATTATTGATCGTACAATATCACATAATGTATAATGATACAATTGTACGGAAATAAGCGCGGATCCAGCGTTTTGGAAAATGAGGTATGCCTTTTGGGAAAAAAAGTTAAAATACAAGTTCTAAATGAACTCACAGAATTCGCGAAGCAGTTTGCATTTACACATCACCAAATGATCTAGTACAAGTGTTGTAATACATTTATAACGTCTATACCATATCGCCTATACTATTTACAAATGTCAAAATTTAGTGGGGGTGGGGGTGGAGCGATAGGGGTGGGGGTAAATAAGTATGGCACCGCTGTGGTTTTCAGGAATGCTTAACGACTTCATATAAAAAAACGGTTTGTTTTAACTCAGAAAGTTGTTTCTCCTACCAATATCTGACAATACAACGCTTATCATTAAAAATATTTTTTTTGCGTCAAGGTTGTTGACAGGTTGATACAAAATGATTCATTACAAAGATACAAACTATGGGAATGCGTATAGTACAATAAAATGCTTGAGACATTGTAACGAACTCAAAACGAATATAATTTATTTCAACCTGTTACCTCTAAAAACACAAGGTTCTCTTTGGTAATCATGTGATGGATAGAAAGGTAGCGATTTTTTATTCGATAAACAAAAGTAAATAAATGAAATCAAGAGGCATACTAATGTAAAAATTTACTATAAAAAAGCAATCGATTATTACAAAACACTTGACTCTAAAAATCAAATGTATGTGCATTATTATTTTAATTATCCACAACCTGCAGGAAAATACTACTCAAAAGAAGAATAGGAAAATGCGGGTGTATTTTTGAGTAGTATGCAAAGACTCCGACAATATGGCGGCACGAAACTCATTACGACGTTATCAACAGATATACATGCTTCGACTGAGTTCCTTCTAGTTGATTAACGCATCAGCGGCAAGACTGCGTCCTCGTCGCACACACGACATTCAACCAGTTTTACCAAGAAATATTTTCAGTGATAAGTATCGCCATTCCCTGCATCATCTAATTTCATTAAGCTCAAGTTTCTTTGGCTGCAATTCGTACCATGATTTCATTAACATGACACTTTGGTGCCAAGCCAGCCTGCAGGCGAAGCACAAAATACCCGTTTCCAGGTGGTGAACCTGTTCTCCGATTGATGGTTCCAATACATAAAAATTTGGTATGCAGATATTTGCTGCTTGATGCAATCTCCAAACGTTTTAAATAACTTCTGTCATTCGTGTTATTTTTTAAACATAAAATATTCTCTAATTCGTACAATTTAAACAGATACTCCCACTCACGTATTCCAGGCCCTCGTGAATGCTTGATAACCGACAGACTTATTTACCAATGTCATTCCGTATTCCTGAATCTCTACATTTTATTTTACCATCACCTTCATTGCCGCGGGTTCGTTGTTTCGAGCATTTTACAAATATGTTTTTCTTTATAATATATATTTTACAGCTACAAAGTAGCACTTCCACTCAATGAATGTGACAAGGTTGACCATGTTATTGTTTTATATTTAATCGTTGATGTCAGTTTTAACATGTTGGAAATTTCAATTTTCAATGTCTCGCATTAAGAGAAAGGATAAACAACAAAAACATTTGGAATGGCTTGCAAAAAGTCATAGAAAAATTAAACAATTACAAGTCATTTTGGTATACTTCAGGACGGCCAAATATTCTGCATACATGCACATGATAATATCAGTTACACCAAACGTTTTCACCAATACAAAACTGTCCGGCAAAAGAAGTATGCACCATGTTTGATGGTGGCTGGAAGTAAACAATGGTTAGTTATTCGATGGTGATGTATTTCATACGGGTATCATAGCTGTGTTTTGGACCTGAAGTATATTTCAATACAGAAATATGATTCATAATATATTTGTAGAATAATTAATACTTGAAATGTTCTTTCCATACAAATGTGAAATATGCTAGCAGGGGTTAATTGCTTATAAACTCAAAGCATTACACGGATCACAGTTTTCTGTCAACAGTATCACAAACTTTAACATCATAAGGAGGCGATGTGAAATTGGGTTTAACGTTGCGTCCAAGATTATTGCACTTATATAGCGACGTGAATGAAAGTGTATGTGTTTGTACTAGTCCGGACTAATGCCGATTTTATAGTGCTAGCCCACTGAGATACCATGCCGCAGTTTAACATTAACACCCCACTCAGACACAGTATACTGACTCCGAGCCAACCAGTCCTTGTAATCTCTCTTAATGCCGAGCGCAAGCGGGGTAGCATATGCATCTTTCAACGTCTTTTGGTATGACGCGGCCAGGGATCCAACGCCGGACCTACCGCTCTCCGGCCGAACACTCTACCAATACACCACGGAGGCGGACTAAAATCATCAGGTTAGCTATAGTTTAAAACAAAAGAAGACACTTTGTGTTCCTTATTCCTTTTTGTAACGTTTGATGTTTACCGACATCAAATTCTTAGATAAGATAAAATCGTTCGCATCAATTCATTGCATGAGGTAGAGCCAAGAACAACGCCCTGTGAAAGGATAAAAACGTGATTTTTATCATAGATTCAATATATATTTTTTTCGAAATGACACAAACAGATATCTCTAATAAGTTACAAGCACTGCCTCCTTAACCCTAGCCGGCGATAAAGTAAAAAAATATGGTTTGAATAATTTGTTGATACGAGAAAAATGCAAGTTGGCGTTTACGCGATGCGATGTCTGATAGGCGGGCGTGCATTTCAAAGTGTTTCGCTTTCTCCGATAGATCACTCGTCTGTATAGAAGCCACGTGGTTCGACCAAACATGTTCATTTCACATGAGTCGGATTTCACGCTACAAAAACGTACATTTCAAACATTGGTCTTCAATTCGTTAGAATGCGAAGCATTAGCCACATCTCGGTGTAGGTGTTTTAACTTGCGCTGTTATGAGAGAGAACACGAGCGGGTCACAGGTGTCTTGTAACCCTCGATGTTCAACAAACGTTGTCGGACCGAACCTGTGTAGTTACTTTAGATATTGCATCTGGGTACGGTTGTTATGAGAGGTGCACCGCTCACTTTCCGGTGTCACGTGACTGGGGAGGGGGAGAAATGGCAACACTCCACAAATGTCAATATTTTCTCAAGTTGTAGAGACATTTGCTTGTTAATGCATTTCGCAATAACACTGTAATGAGAGTTCGGATTACCCAATGTTGATCAAGGGACACTACTGGAGCGGTGTAAGTGTGGGGGCGGAAAAGGGGGTGGGGCAGAGAGACGAAGCACCTGGAATTGATATGATCACTGACTTTGTGCACATTCCTGACTAACGGTCCTTTTGATGTTGGGGATTGAAACCACGAGGAGAGGGAAAGTAGGGTTTTCAATATTATCAAAAACACAAGCAAACTAACGAGGTCTACATGATAACCTACTGTGACAAGGGTAATTACGATACGAAACTGTTCCGTCGCAGAGATACTCTTAGTTCAGAGATGTTTTAAAATAATAACAATAACAACAGCATGATGATATGTGACAATACGAGAGAGTGAATACTACTACTAGTAGTAGTACTACTACTACTACTACTACTACTACTACTGCTACTACTACTACTACTTCTACTACTACTACTACTAATAAAAAATAATTAATAACTACTTGAAGATGACAGTATGAGAGAGAGAGAGAGAGAGAGAGAGAGAGAGAGAGAGAGAGAGAGCATGATGAGGTGATTCGATGGAAAGACAATGGTATTTGACCTGCTAAACGATATTACAAACACAAAATCCATTCTTTTATCTC